CTGGGTACATTTTTATGCTTGCTAATGGACCTATTTCATGGAAGAGTCATAAGCAGACTCTGACAGCTTCTTCCACTATGGAGGCAGAGTTCATAGCATGTTATGAAGCCACATGTCATGCAGTATGGCTAAAGAATTTTATATCTGGATTACAACTTGTCGATTCAATTTCGAAGCCCTTACAGATTTACTGTGATAATGATGCTGCTGTGCGGTTCTCCAATAATAACAAAACTTCAGGAGGATCAAAGCATATTCATATCAAGTATCTAGTTGTTAAAGAAAGGGTTCTGAATCAGACTGTTTTCATATCTCATATTGGTACTACACTCATGTTAGTAGATCTTTTAACTAAAGGTCTCACGCCTAAGCTCTTTCAAGAACATGTTGCGCGCATGGGTTTAGTAGAAAGTTTATCATGTTTAGATTTGAAATGAGTGTATTATGTTCATGATAAATGTTATGTTATAATCATCTTCTGTTAGTAATGATTATGTTTGTTGTTTTCATTCTTCATACTTGTGCACAATTTAGAAGATGTAAACAACAGGACTGTTATAGATGAATTAACATTAATCACCATTATGTTACTAATATCATCTCTGTGATTTAAGATTCACTTATTCATGTTGATGGAAAATATTAACCATATAACCATTGTACAGTCTTGATTAATGTGTAAATCACTGACTGCAATGATTTGGTACTAATAATTTTATTGAACAGAATCTAATGGTGATGGTGCAATCTTCTAGTGGGAGAACATTGGCCATATTATGATAATCTAGTAACATAATATAATCATGCAAGCCAAGTGGAAGATTGTAAGAATTTTTCCTAAATATGGCTTAATGTGGCTTATACATGATTATACTAGATTCATTTCATTAAGTAAGATACATGTACATCAATTAGATGGTGACTAATCATTGATAAATGCACCTATATATTCATAATGTATAGAAGACTAATGGAGATAGTGTCAATGCATTGAATGTGATAGATTCATTATGAATGAATCTTAGAGATGCATTATGTATCTATTATGAATATAGAAGATACATCAATCTATCTAATGAGTTCATTAATAAAGAAGATGCATTATGTATCATGAATGTAAAAGATACATTAATCTATTTAATGAAGTTCATTGAATGAATGGATTCTTTGATGGGAAGAATACTAGTATAAATAGTGTAAGGTCCCAAATCACACTCCCCATCACAAAAACTCAAGTTGTCACCACAAGAAGGCTCCCATCACCTAGAGAGAGAGAAGTGGTTTGAAGATCTTAGACAAATAAATAACTTGAAGATCAAGGTCTTCTATTCAAGATTTCTTTTTCTCAAAAGAGGTTTTCATACTATCATGGATCAACGTATGTATACACTTATTTATATAGTAGAAATTCATATAGTTTTCATGTATAGAATTGAATCCTTAATGGTTTTTAGTTTATGTTCTGCAAAGTTTTCTATCATATAGTTTATCGAAGAGAATGAGATTAAAGTCTATTACATAAGAGTCATCATAATTTTAACTCTACTTAGATGACTGGAGATTCTAAGAACTAAGTTCAAATGGACAACTAAGTTATGTGTGGCTCACCAAAAATCACCAAGGGATTAAAAAAAATCCTACCCATTCCTATGGTGAGAGTGATATCTGCAACATGTGTTGTTTGTAGGGGTTTAAGGATAAGTTTTGCTTTTAATGATTACTTATATCTTGACTTAGGCATAAAAATCAAGACGAGTATAAGAGATACTCACAATAAGAATTATCTACATGAGTGTCGAATTGGGCCCGGTTCTATAAGAATGAAAAGGTTAAATTCTCTAGAAAAACTCACGAGCAACCAAGAGCGTTCAAGGCCAAAATAAATACGACCATGAGAACCATGATATGTCAGAAGATAATTTGTGTGAAATCTATTGTCTTGGCTTACACCAACGGTTGAACAATTCAAGGCATCGCGTCTATTAGTTAGCTAGTAAGTCCGATAGGTTATCACTAGGGAAGGTTCAATGCCGAAAGCTACCTATCCTGATTCAAGATATTTTCAATTTATACACTTTCGACAAATTATGCATATTGTTGCATTCTCGTTGCCATCAAATTCCATTCATGTGGGGGATTGTAAGAAATGATTTGAAAAAATTATTTGGCAAAAATAGTTTTTTCTTAAACTTTTGTCTAACTTTTAGGTGGGACCCATGCGCCAAAGTTGGTGGATCCATGTGGCAACACGTTCTTTGACACGTAATGATTCATGTCATATATTTGGTTGCTCAAAATCATTATCGGGTGAATGAAAAATTGATGCCAAATTGAGCTCTATGAAAATAGTGCTTTGGTGAAGTTTCCATAAAGGAATGGAGTTAAAGGTTTGTCTCACATTGCTTTGGTGGGCAAACATTGTGTGGGTTGATAAGCCTTGGGTTTGCAACTTGGATAAGGCCCTAAGGGGTACCCAAGTTTTGTGGAAGGGTGAGGTTATGGGTAAAGGCTAGGCCCATTGGACCCAAAACAAAAACACACACGCGCACGCGCCCCACCGCTGCATTCCGTCCTATCAGTCGGGCGGGCTGGGCTGAGCTTGGGCGCGGGTGTGTGGTGTGAGGTTGGGTTGGGCTTGTCTAGCCCAATGCTTATCTTTTTGGGCCAAAAACAATTGAATTTTATTTTTCTAAAATTAAATTCTTACCATTTGGAATTTGAATTTCGTTAATTCTTTTGGTCCAATGTACCTATTCCTCTTTATTGAACAGGTTCCTACCTATTTAAATTAAACCTAAACAGGTTTTAGCTGTTCAAATTTAAACCTAAACAGGTATTGTACCTGTTAATAGTTGAACAGGTTTGGTACCTGTTGAAACCTATTCTGAAAAGCCACAAATTCTTCTATAAATAGTCAGTCCTCATTTGGATTTTACACTCAATTATTTTCATTCTTGCTTCTACTATTGCTCTCTGTATTTTTTTGTATTAATTTTTCTGTGAGAAAGTGTATAAACACATAGTGTGCTCATTGTGCAAATAGTTTGTAGTGCTGCTACTGTTCGTTGTAGATCATTTCATCCTGGGAGATAGACGTCCATAATCTATGAGCACCCCAGAGAGAACGAATCTGTCTTAAGGAGATAGTGTTAAACACTAGACTTGATCATTCTAAGAAATTATTTTCTATAAATATTTTCCTGTTCTTATTTTGTTTTCTTTCTCCTACTCTATTTCCATTTTATGTTTGGTTTCTGTAATTAAACAGATTTTGGAAAATCTTTCTTTTAATTTATTCCTTGTGCGTTTTGTTTGTTGTTAAGTACACAAACATAATTTAATTTTAATACAATGAAAATTGTTTAACAAGTAGGCTCTGTTGTGTTCTTCAAACCTCCAACAATGGAAGAGAAGAAGACTGATGAGAGAGGAGAGTGCACGGTTTTGTGGTTTGGGCAGTGGGCTTTGTTGGGACAGTTGGGCAATTACCCCACCCTTTTGAATCATCTCATTCTTGCTTAGACTCACCGATACAAGTAAGATTCACATCAAGTCAGACTCACTAGCTCAGGAGTGAGTCTTCAACTAGATCTTCATCGTGCTCGATGATAGCGATAATCCTCATCGTGAAACTCCTCTCCACCTTGCTATATGACGCACAAGATCTAGAAGCGAAATGAAAATCTCCGAAGTGATACGTTTAGGTCCACACACCAACACTGCGGTCCTCCCCACTAAGACCCCCATCGCGACCCTATCTCCGACTCCCACTATTGCCTCGCTCCCAACTCTGCCCACCTCTACTCCATCTCTGGCTTTGAGAAAAGTTACATCACTACGGCAGCTGATATGGTGGTGAAGACGGTGGATGTGAACACTGTTTGAAACACACTTTTTCACTCTCTGACAAGAACGAAAATGAAATCCGACAGACTGACGGTTTATTCCTACTCAACCCCTAACGATGTCAACTAGAGCTATTCATAAACCCGTTATATCTGACTCAATCGACCTAATTGACTCGAACCGTCGAGCCATGGTCGATTTTGAATGCTATATGGTCGAACCACAGTCAAAAAATGCAAAAATAATCAGTTCACCGATCGATGCTCGAATTTAAAAAAAATTTAATAACTACACCTGAACTGTCTAATTATATCCGTGGCTTTCTAGTATTGGAAGTTTAAAATAGATTTTATGTTCTAAAACCAATCTCTTCTCTTCTATATACATGTCACGCCCCAAAATTTGGTCAATTAAATATTAAATTTGGACTAAACCCCAATCAATATTACATCATCCAAATCCTAAAGGTGAAACAAAATCTAAATGTTCTCATCTCCATAAGATTTAAGTAAATATCTATGTTCAAAAAAAAAAGAAAAAAAGAAAAACAAGGGATAAAAAAATTAATAAACGCCAACCAAACTATCCAATACCTCCAATATTAAAGTAGCAACAACTAGTCAAAATAATTTAAATAATGTAAAGTTTAAAAATAACCTACAACGCCAAATGGTCAAAATACTAAGGTAAAAAAAAAAAAAACTAATATCAATCCTAAACTCTAGAAAACAAAAGAAGTCCAAAACACATGTCCGACAATCGTAGTTATTTCTCATCACCATCGTAGTCCCAACTAATCTTGCAAAAGAAGCTCGGCTACGCTCAAACAAAATGCACCTGAGATGCCAAGGGACAAAATGAGTTAATATACAAGTATATTGGTATGAGTACAAAATTTGACACCCACGTGTCCACCAGACACAAACAAAAGTACATTTAATTCTTATTATGTGACAAGACAAGTAGTTCCACACGTACCAAGACGAAGAGATAATTTCTCGAGATACAGTGGCATTTAGTTTCTTGCTCGTACACAACTAAATATAAATTGAGTATAAAATAAACAAACTAAATAAGAAAATATGATGGGTTAGCCCTGCATAAAAAGTTAGTAAGACCCACCATTCTACAAAAAATAAAGTTAGTATACTTTAATCATAAGTAAATTGCTGAAGAAATATAAAAACTCACCGTTTCATGCTTAAATCATTTGAATTGACCAAAACTCAAAGAACAAAAGTTGTACAGAATCAAATTTTCTAAAAGATATAGTGAAAGGATTTAGTAGAAATTGAACAGGTTGAGAGAACAACATGATCAAAGAACCTAGAGTGAATCCGACCGAAAAATCTGAATTTGAAAACGAAAAGAAACTGCTCTAAGATGATTTTTTTTGAAAAAGTTCAAAACACAAAAAGTGTCAAGAATAATGTTTTACTTTATTTTTTCGAGAAATCAATAAAAATGAACTCGTTTCATGGGTTAAAACAGCATCTAAAATTTGCATTGCTAAAATGAATAAAAATTATTGTAACCAAGATCATCTGTAACAAGTTCTAATCGATCTTTTTAGTACGAAGTTAAAATATAAAAGTTGTCTAGAATTACGTATACATACCTCTGCCCAAATTTCGTAATTTATCAAGGTCGTTTACTATTTTTCAAGATGTACAAATCAATACAATTTATACTATACAAATAAACTCATATTTAATTCTTTATACCTTAACTCCACCACTTTGGCCCTTCGCTTCCGGCCTACACATATATCCCATGTGCCTCACGTATACCTAACACCGCTCCGAAGCCAAACTTGCACAGGGATATCGTCTCAAGTTTGACCCACACTCCTCGGATGGTTAGCATATATGTACGCGCTTAAATCAACGCACTCGTCTACTCTTGAGACGAGGCAACAATATATATATATATACACAATCCCTTATCTACTTATGAAAACAAACATAACAATGCCAAGCCTAAGGCATTCAAACGAATCTCATAATCCTCACCTTTTTTTGTATATACTCTTTCTTACCAACACTCATATAAAACAACAATTCATGTAGTCATGGTGGAGTATAAGAAATTTATCTACGGGTTTCCAATTTATTTTAATTTCATGTATCCATGAGTGCGATTACAACCATATAAAAACACTAAATCTTGCGTACACAACTAACTAAAATAATTGAAATCAATCCATCAACTTTTTGCCAATACAATATTAAACCAACATCAAATAAATATAAATAAATAAATAATAACAATAAAATAAACATAAATCAAGGAAAGTGGGTTTTGCACTCACAATTATTTTTATGGAGTCATGGTGGAGTATAAGGAATTTATTTATGTGTTTCCAATTTATTTTAATTTCATGTATCGATGAGTGCGATTATAACCATAAAATAAATACATATAAAAACACTAAATCTTGCGTACACAACTAACTAAAATAATTGAAATCAATCCATCAACTTTATGCCAATACAATATTAAACCAACATCAAATAAATATAAATAAATAAATAATAACAATAAAATAAACATAAATCAAGGAAAGTGGGTTTTGCACTCACAATTATTTTTCAAACATCAAAGAATACTTAGAGAATTAATAAAGCCACCAAAATAAAACTCTAACCCTTTCTTTCTCCCCTCTCCTCTCTCTCTTGCCGTCTATCTGTCTTGGCTTTCTCTCTGGCTTTGATTAATCTCTCTCTCTCTCTCTCTCTCTCTCTCGGCTTTCTTTTCCTTTTTTTTCCTCTCTCTTTTCTTTGCCTCATATGTTGATAACCTAATAACATTATATTATATTTTATTATATAAATACAACATATAGAAATATGCTATATAAGATCAATATATATATAACACGTTTCAAAAATGTAAAAAAAATAAAAATATATATAAATATTCAGATTAATTATATATAATTAAATATCACATTAAATTAATTAAATACCACATTAAATTCTCATGTATCTATACAATTAATAAAGCCAAAAATAAAATAAAGTAATAATAATAAATAATGACTTATGAAAAATTATGGTCGCCACAATATACACACTTCAAAAGAATCTCGTCCTGAGACTCGATAGGAGAGAGTACTAAACAAAAAGTTCTAGGTGCATACACCGAACTTTCTCTTTTAATTCCGAAGTGATCATTTTCATCTTCGCTCCATTGCACTTTCACCAAGCTCACTTTCTTGCGCCACAACTGCTTAATATCTTGTTCTAGAATAGTAATCGGTCGCACCACATACATTAGATCGTCACTAATCTGCAACACCTCTAGTGATACTACTTGGAAAGGGTCTCGCACACACTTCCGCAATAAAGATACATGGAACACGTTGTGAATCATAGCTAAAGCAGGTGGTAGGGATAATTTGTAAGCCATATTACCAATGTTCTCAATGATATCGTATGGTCCCACAAATCTAGGTACCAACTTTCCCTTCTTTCCGAACCGCATGATACCCTTCATCAGCGAAACCTTCAAAAACACAAAATCTCCAACATTTAACTCAACCCTTTTACATTTTCTATCAATGTAACCCTTTTGACGACTTTGTGTAGTCTTAATACGTTCCTAAATAATGTTCACATTCTCTGTGGTCTCTCTCACTAACTCTGGCCCTAACAACGGTGCATCTCCTACCTTCATCCAATAAGCAGGTGATCGACATGGCCTCCCATACAAAGCCTTAAAAGGTGCCATCTCAATACATGAGTAATAACTATTACTATAAGCAAACTCTACCAACGGCAAGTGTTTTTCCCAACTACCACCAAGATCAAGGACACAAGCTCTCAACATATCCGCCAAGATCTGATTTACTGGCCTAATTTGCTCATCCGTTTGAGGATGATAAGCTATGCTCAGGTCTAACCTAGCACCCAAAGCATGCTGAAAACTCTTCCAAAACTCTACTACAAACAACGGATCACCATCCAAAACTATAAAAACTGATGCGCCATAAAGTTGTACCACCTCCCGAATATACAACCTAGCTAGTTTATTTGTAGTTCAGTGAACACTAATAGGAATAAAATGAGTAGACTTAGTGAGTCGATCCACTATTACCCAAATAGATTCATTGCCTCGCTTAGACCGCGACAATCCATCCACGAAGTCAATAAAGATGTACTCCCATTTCCAAGTAGGGATCTCGAGAGGCTGCAAAAGTCCAAATGGCCGTTGGTGTTCCACCTTAACCTATTGACACACATGACATCAAGAAACATACTCTCTTACGTCCTTCTTCATACCTTCTCACCAAAACGTCCTCTTTAGGTCACGATACATCTTAGTCCCACCAGAGTGAATGGTATATCGGCACCTATGGGCATTATCTATAATCTCTTTCCTCAATTCAACAATGTTAGGTACACACAACCTGCCCTTGAATTGCAATCCCCCATTGGAGTCCATAGACCAATCAGTAGGACAATCATCAATCAAATCCACTACAAGGTCATCGAGCTTGATGACAAGGAACCCATATAAATACTACATCTGATGAACTTTACCCAATAATGTCGGTTGCATGGTTAAACTACCAATGTATGCCCTCTCCACATTCTCTATTGGTTGAACATCATGCATCAAAACAAATTCCAAGGACTTCCATTCCTGAATCATCAAAGAAGTTATAATCCCATGCTGTCGACTAAGTGCATCTGCGACCACATTTCCTTTTCCCGAGTGGTAAAGGATCTTGAAATTATAACTGATGATAAATTCAACCCACCTCTGTTGCCTTATGTTTAACTCTTTTTGAGAAAAAAAGATATTTGTGGCTCTTGTAATCTGTGTATAACTCGAAGCGTTCCCCAAACAAGTAGTGTCGCCACACTTTCAACGCAAAAACAATTACTGCCAACTCTAAGTCATGAGTAGGGTATCGTCTCTCATGAGGTTTTAGCTGTTGTGAGGCATAAGATACAACCTTTTGATGTTTCATCAACACACATCCCAAACCAGTTCCACTCGTATCAATAAACACTACTAATTTTTCCCCTTGTACTGGTATAGTTAACACTGGAGCTGTAGTCAAATGCTGCTTTAACTCCTGGACAGCTCTCTCACAATCATCTGACCATAAGAACTTCACATTATTGTGGGTAAACTTGGTCATGGGTATTGCAATAGTGGAAAACTTCTCTATAAATCTCCTGTGATAACCGGTTAGTCCTAAAAACTCCTCACCTCTAAAGGATTTGTAGGTTGCTTCCATTCTTTGACCACAACAACTTTCTCAGGATCTACCGCTATCCCTTGATTGGACACAACTTGTCCCAAAAACTAAACTTTTTTCTCCCAAAAGTGACACTGAACTTATCGTATAATTGTTGCTCCCTCAAAGTCTGCAACACGACTTTCAAGTGTTCTTTGTGCTCTTCCGCATTCTTAGAATACACTAGGATATCATTTATGAAGATAATCACAAACTTATCTAGATACGGTTGAAAAATTCTGTTCATCAAGTCCATGAAATAGGCAGGAGCATTTGTCAAACCAAAAGGCATTACAAGAAATTCGTACAACCCATACTGAGTCCGAAAAGCAGTAAGCAGTATACTTTCCTCAGACACACCTATCTGATGGTAACCTGTTCTGAGATCAAACTGAGAGAAAACGGCTGCCCCCTTCAATTGATCAAACAAGTCATCAATTTTAGGTAGCGGATACTTGTTCTTGATAGTCAACTTATTTAGCTCTCTGTAATCTATGCACATGTGGAGAGTGCCATCTTTCTTGGAGACAAAGATCACGGGTGCTCCCCACGAAAGGTTACTTGAACATATGAACCCTTTTTGAAGCATCTCTTCCAGCTGCTTCTTTATCTTCACAAGATCTTTAGGCATTATTTTATATGCCACCTTAGAAATCGATGCAGTTCCCAGCACTAGGTCAATGTGAAATTCTACTACGCGTCGAGGTGGAAGTCCAGGTATCTCCTGGAATATATCCTCAAACACACATACCACATCTACCTCACTAATATCCTACTTAGGGATTTCTACTGAGCACAAAAAACTCGTCATCACCGACTCTCTTCCATCGCTATAAGTGTGGGTAAGTCGTGGCATACCGGGAATATCTATATTTATAGTCCTTCCAGCACAATTTAGAGTTGCAAAACGTTTTCGCAGCCAATCCATACCTAAAATAATTACAAACCCCTCAAACCTTAACACAATTAGGTCCACATACAAGACTCTACCCGCAAAGTCAATCTCAAAATCTTTACACACCTCATGAAGAGTAGCTGCTCCTCCTAAAGGTGTCTCAACATGAATAGGTTTAGACAATGAGGTAGTTATAAGATGTTCTCTTTCTGCAAACTGTCTAGATATGAAAGAATGAGAGGCACCAGTATAAAAAAGTACTCTAATGGGTTCTTGAAAAAGATTAAAGGTACCTTGCACTTTGTCATTTCCTAGCATCACTGCAAATTCCCTGGTCTGAGCTTGCTCGACTCTTGTCATGGCTTACTATTCTGAGGGCACATTCATGACTACATCTCCCAACTGCTGACACCCAAAAACACTTCCTATTGATCAGTTGAGGTGCTATTGCTCTGATAGGTGGGGCCCTCCAACTGAGGTATGAAAGACATAACCATCTTGGCACCTGCTTACTGCTGTCCTTGATAACCCTGTAGGCGTAGACCACCCTGTTTTTGATAACTAGTTGTCCCCTAGGGCTGGAAATTTGCCCTGAGGCCGTTGAAAATTACCCTGTAGGTCTGAAATTTCGCCTGGGTACTCCGCTGTTACTATGGCCTCTGACTAACTTGAACCCCTGTGCTTGATTGTAGGGTCGGTATCTGTTCCTATCACATGCTAGAAGTGATCCTTCTAGAAGTCTCACCCGACGCTGGCCTTCCCTTCCTTAAAATGTTTCTTTGTTCCTCACTCATGCCGAAGCTAGTTAACTTTATGTTCAAATGGTTTCAGCATTAAAGGGAATTAAGAGACTTAGACAGTCATGATTATCACCTTAAATAAACTTGCTTCATTCTTATTTTCCTACGTATAACCAAGTAAGGTCGGAAACGAAGACGAATCGATTAAACCTTGGGTGATATACACGATCACTGTTCTAATCCGTCTGAGTTGAACTTCGAAAATTTCATCACTCACTGAGACCCGAATAGCAGGAACAAACTTTCTGGGTCAAAATGGGGTCTGAAATCTGGCCTATGTCAAAGTTGCGTCACATATCTGACCCCTCATTCCACTGAGTTCCACCAATCATAGGGCTGCTCCCGTCAAAACTGATGTATAGCCAACTCACTATTTTTGAACCTCGGGCAGCTGCATCACGACAACCAATCTATATTTCTTGGACCAGGCGTCGAGCTGGTAGTGGGTCCCTCTTTCTCTAAGAGATTTTTGGACCGCCTAAACAACAATAATTCTTGTTTTTCTTCGCAAGGGATCTCCCGCTAGCCTTGATTTATTATTTTGCACCAACCTGCAGTAACTGAGCACCATCTCCCCACAATAACCTGCCACGAGTATTAGGTTTACCCCCTAGAGCGCGCTGCCTCCGCTGTCGCTTGCCGCGCCTCGTCATGTTAGGCAGTTGTTTCTTCCTTTGCAACTGTTCAAATTATACATTCTAGCCATTTCCTTCGAAGTTTAACACACAAAAGAATTCATCATCTAATGCTTGAGAATCAATTCACCACCAAACTAAACAGCTATACCCATGTTTCTCACAATCCGAGGATTCACCTAAACTTCGCACTAGAGTCACTAGGGTAACCTAGGGCCTCTAATTGCCAAAACACTGTCATGTCCCGCAAAATTTTTGGACAAATACAATTATTTACAATTAGGATTAGAACCCCAATTCAATATTCCATCACAAATCCTAGGGGTGAAATAAAATTTAAATGTTTCTCGTCTCCATAGGGTTTAAGTAAATAACAATGCTAAAAAAAAAGAGATACAAAAACAAATTATAAAACTCCCAACAAACGTATCTTAATACCTCGGAGGGGTTAGTCTCCATGGATACGTAAGTTAGCTCACTTTGTCGTGCCCCATTTTAGAAGTCAAATATAGCCCTACAGTTCGGACCTCCACGCAGTTCTGAATTTGATTCCATAAGCTGCCAATGTGGAAATAGATAACACCCTAAAGAGTTCCAGAATTCGGTGAATCTTTTGCAAAATTTGATTTTGAATCAAATTGCCAAAAAATGCGACTTGCTTTGCCAGATATAGGTCGCCACCTAATGTTATTGTATGATAAAATTTAGAAAACACCATGACTCAGTGCCTGAGGCCACGTGTCTGTCATCACCAACGGGTGTCTCGGCGTCGGGAACTTAGTACAAGAGGGGAAGGTACTTGAATTGAGACCCCACCGCCTGTGATCAAAGATCGGCCGCACAAGTCGAATGAATCTACTTTGCATCATATGATATTCTTGTTCCGGTTATTAATCTGAGCATTACTATGTGTATGCGCACATACAAGTATAGAGACTAACTTGCAAAAATTGGAAACACTATGAGTCATGTCTTGTTTCTGAAGAGAGTTTGAATTGCAACTTGAAAAAGTGGGCTTAAATGTGCCATGCCTCAAATTATTCCAATTCAAGCCAATTAGCGCCTTCATCACCAGGCAACAAGCAGGTATATCAATTAAGCACTTAGCCTCATGGTAAGCCCCCACATCACCGCAAACTGCCATCACCAAACTCAACTATCAATGTTTGTTGTTGGTACAGCCGCGCTGCCTCGATGTCCTACTCCTGCATGACCACCAGTCATGGAGAGAATGCGAAGCACATGACAAACAATCACACTTCATGTAATATGCTAAAGCAAGTAAAGGCTCACCTCGTACTCCAAGCCAAAAAGACATAAGAGAGGTAGAAAAAAATACATGATTCCTAACTATGCAACATGACTAATGCAACACATGTGATATGCAATTTAAAATAGGCTCGGCTACTTAACATGGCATATGAATTAATTGATAGCATGTGGTTTAAGCACGTATTCAAATAAGTATTAGACTAACAATGCAGTTGGAATAATGAACCGAGCCTCGGTGTATGCAGTACAAGTGGATGCAAACATGAAGAATGCTAATTTAAATGTGATATCCCTATACTAACCATCATAAGTAGTTAAATAAAAGGGAAAAAGACGTGGGGTTGGAAGACATACACATTATTACAACATTATGCTCTTATGAAGGAGAGTCCAAATGAATAAACTAACTAGCTAACTATTTAAGCTAAGCTAATTAATTAACTATTACAAACCAAATGAAATAAATTAACTCCCAACTAATTAACTACTTTAGCTAATTAAATAATTACAACACAAGTATAATTAAAAGAAGTTAGTAAGCTAAACAACTAATTACTCTGCCTCGGGAAGTGAGGAATGTTCATGCGTATGCTCAATTTCCACCCGAAAAGCCACTGTTTTGCTTTTAGAGAGCTTCTGTTGCACAATAGAACACATACACTGTTGCCCACTTCCAGAATGGCTCTACTCCGCCAAAGGAACACACTGCTGAATTTTGCATCAGTGGCCGACTGGCCACTGGTGAGGGATGCCGGCCATCAAAGGTGGTCTGCCGGATACTGTTGGCCATGGAAAGTGGCTTGCTGGCCACTGCTGCCCAATTCACCTTGTTGCAACAGAAGACAAATAGAGCATGCACAGGGTATTCTCTAGGGTTGTCTGCACAACTCACCCCTCATTTTCATGAACGAATCAAAGGAGAAGTAAACTTAAGCCACAAACCACTAACTCAAGCAATTTCATTGCATGATGGCTTGTGAATCAAAGTGTACAAGTTTAATAAATGCAACAAGATATGACTCTAACCTCTGCCCTTTCATGAATTGATTAAGGGATGTGGTGACCTTGGAAACTTGAATCATTTCATCACTAATGAGTATAAATTGCCTCAAGTTTCCATGTGTTCAATTAACATCCGATTGAACACAACCAAATTATTATCTTGCACCATTTTAGCCTCAATTTTAGTTACTTAATTTTAAATTACCATCCGTTCTTTAATTCATTAAGTCCAATGGTGAGTTTAAGTCCTCTAAATGGAAAGAAGCGTCAAACAAGGAGTTGTTCTTAGCATGAGAGAGATGTAATGCCCTGATAATGAACCTCTGAAGAGCTTAAACCATTTAGCATGGAAGGTCTTTTTCTCATGCTAAAAACAACATATATGGGACATCAATTCACCACTTTCAATTAGATTACAACAATATACAATATAACAATAAATCAAAGCAAAAGAGAAAAATAAGTAAGAAATGCAAGAAAATAAAAGGTTTGTGAAATTCACCTTCCAAGGACAAGATGAACTCCTTAGTTCACAAACTCCCTCTTGATCACCCTCAAGTGTAGGAAGTGTATTCTCAAATCCTCAATTCGAAATTATAGAGTTTATGGAGTTTGGAAAGTGGCTAACTCTCTAGTTTCTCTCACTTTCAATCACTAAACACTCTTCCTTATGATCAAGGCAATTGATCTTTGGCTATATAAGAATTTTTGGAGTGTTTTTGGTGTATGGAAATGAGGAATTTTAGTAGCTATGGAAGCTTGAAAGCGTTGGCTCAAAATTGAAAATGTAGACAATCTTTTACTCTCCTTTCTCTCTAACTCTCTTGAAGCATTCTTCTGTTATTTGTTTTTTGCTCCCCTAAGCCTCTCCCTCTTTGGCTTTATATAGGCAACAAAGTATAATATAATAATATAAGTATAATAATATAAAAAGCTATAGGCATATATGTAGACACCCCATTTTTGACCGTCCTCAAGACTTGGACGTCATCGTTTGAACACTCGATGATCATCCATGCTCGTGTTCGTTTTGAGTTCCCGAAGGTCTCGGCTGCGCGCCTTGCCGTAGGATCTCTCAACTTGTCAGTTTTGTGCTTGGTTGTGGACCAAGAACTTGTGGTTTTTGCTTCTGAGGGAAGATGGTGGCTTGTCGGCCATCCCTGCAACCCATCGGCCAAGCCTTGTGCTTATTGGCCTTGTTTCCTTGCCATTGGCCATAAGTGTTGGCCGATCGACACTCTTTTTGGTCGATCGTCCATATTTCTTGGCCGAGACCTTTCCACCTGCTTTTGCAGATATTTTTGTGCCAGCTGTGACAGCTGGTGGGCACAATTCTCATCCTCCATACACGTGTATGGAGGGATTGAATCAAGACTCAAGCTTGTTCAACAAGCTTGAGAATTGAAATTCTATAAGAAGGGAGGCCCCTCTCCCTTTCCAGAGGTTCTAAAAATCTGAGATAAAAGTTCTATGGGTATGTTTGGTTTGTGTTTGAGAGATGTGTTTTAGAG